TCTCTCTCTCTCTCTCTCTCTCTCTCTCTCTGTCTCTGTCTCTGTCTCTGTCTGTCTGTCTGTCTCTCCACTCTCTCTCTAAAAATAAATAAATAAAAATTTTACAAAGGACCTACAACCAATATTACTCAATCCAGAGAAGCTTTCATTTAGAATTTAAGCAGAAATAAAGAGCTTTCTAGACAATAGAGCTAAAGGAGCTCATCACCACCAAACCAGTATTATAAGAAATGCTAAAGGGACTTCTTCAGGAAAAAGGGGAAAAATATAAAAATGTGAATAATAAAATGGCAGTAACTATATACCTATCAATAAGTACTTTAAATGTAAGTGGATTAAATGCCCAATCGGAAGACACAGGGTAGCTGAATAGAAAAGAAGAAAAAGACCCATGCATATACTGCCTACAAGAGAACCACTTCAGATATAAAAAAAAAAAATAGACAGACTGAAAGTAAACAGATGGAAGAGATATTTCTTGCAAATGGAAATGAAGAAGAAAAAAACCTGGGATAGTAATATTTATATCAGGCAAAATAGACTTTAAAACAATGGCTATAACAAGAGATAAAGAAGGACCCAGCAATTCCATTTCTGGGTATTTATGTGAAGAAACCCCAAACACTAATTTGAAAAGACACATGCATCCCTATGTTCATTGTAGCATTATTTAAAATAGCCAAGATTGGAAGCAACCTAAGTGTCCATTGATAATTGACTGGATATAGAATATGTGGTCTATATGTACATTGGAATATTACTCTGCCAAAGAAATAATGAGCCTAACCGGTTTGGCTCAGTGGATAGAGCGTCGGCCTGCGGACTGAGGGGTCCCGGGTTCGATTCCGGTCAAGGGCATGTACCTTGGTTGCGGGCACATCCCCCGTGGGGGGTGTGCAGGAGGCAGCTGGTCGATGTTTCTCTCTCATCGATGTTTCTAGCTCTCTATCTCTCTCCCTTCCTCTGTAAAAAATCAATAAAATATATTTTTAAAAAAAAGAAATAATGAAATATTGCCATCTTCAACAAAATAGAAGGTATAATGCTAAGGGAAATAAGAGAAAGGCAAATGCCATATGACTTCACTTATATGTGGAATCTAAAAACAAAATGGGGGGAACAGGGGGCATATGTAGTACTTTCAACAATAAAGAATTTTAAAAAAAGGATTCTGCACATTACCTTTAGGTCATCCAGTATACCACCAAACGGAAGCCAAGTATATAAAATCAAAATATACACAACCTTTTTATAGCAGCAGGTCTGGTTCAAGTGCTGTGACTGGAAAGCAGCTGGTGCTTGCAATGGGTAAATAATTTACACAGGATTGAGAGGCAGTTAGAAAAACTAAAGATTTTTTAAGTGGTGTCAATTTCAGTATTTAAAGATATAAATTTTAAGTTAATAAAAATATGTTTGTAGTTGTAAAAACACACACAAAATAAAAGAACAATCAAAAGAGAAACAAATTCATAGATACAGAGAACATTTTGATGGTTGCCAGATGGGTTGGGGGCATGGGTAAAAAAGGGGAAGAGATTAAAATGTGCAAATTGGCAGTTAAAAAAACAGTTATGGGGATATACAGTATAGCATAGGGAATATATAGTCAAAAACATTGTAATAAGTTATATAAATGTCTAATCACTATGTTGAACACCTGAAACTAATGTAATATTGTATGTCAACTGTAATTTAAAAATAAATGTTTTGGGTGTTTTAGAGAGAGGAAGAGAAAGGGAGAGAAAGAGAGAAAAACATCAATTGATATGTGCCCCAACTGGGGATCAAACCCAAAACCTGAGTCTGTGCCCCAACTGGAATTGAACCTGTGACTCTTCAGTGCTCAGGAAGAACCACACCAGCCATGGTGGAAGTTGACAACTTTTTATATGAGATGACCAACTTGAAAAAAATCTTACGTGTGGAGAACATTTTTTAAAAATTTAAGGTCTTAGTGACCACAGTCATCTTCCTACTAGTCTTGTGGGCTTCATCCAAAGCTGGACAAGGTTCTCAGCCAAGGACAAAGAGGAGCCAAGTCTTTGGAACCTGAAATTCCCACCTAAGAATGTACAGCCCTCTTTCTATTTCTGCCCAGAATTTCACAATCCTGTCTCACTGTGGATTTTCATTTTGCTTTGAAGGAGAGAAGGCTATAACATCCTTAACTCCTGCCTGGCCAGTGTGGCTCAGTGGGTTAGCATCAACCTATGAACCAGGAGGTTATGGTTCGATTCCTGATCAGGGCACTGCCTGGGTTGCAGGCTCGATCCCCAGTGTGGGGCATGCAGGAGGCAGCCGGTCAATGATTCTTTCTTGTCATAGATGTTTCTCTCTCTTTCTCTTCCTCTCCCTTTCTGAAATCAATAAAAATAGATTTTTTAAAAGCCGTCATAATTGCCCTGGCTGATTTGGCTCAGTGGATAGAACATTGGCTGAAGGGTCCTGGGTTCAATTCTGATCAATGGTACATGCCCAGAATTTTAAAAAACATATTTTTTAAAAAACCACCATAATTTCTGCTGGGAAACTAGCGTATCCTTGCTCTGAACAAAGAATGCATGGCTAGTGGCCTGAGAACTTTCTGGGCCATATCAGGAAAGAAATTCTTCTCTCCTGGAGTTGGTAGCTAGGTGATGCTCCTTGACATGTGCTGAGATTTCTGAGGCATCCAGTGAGACTGGTTCTGGAAGATACATTGTCTACTTCATTCACTGATTTATATCTGCTTCCTATCTAGCACATTATAGGCAATAAAATATTTATTGAATGAATGAATAAATGTATTCTGCAATTTCTTACCTGTCTACTACAGACCATTCAGAGTAGCTGACAGGCAAGTCAGTTACTTGTTGGGAGCTCTAGTAGTTGGGAGCTCCAATACTCTGTTTCTTTTTCTGCTCAGCAGGCTAGAGGATAAAGCAATTTGGAGGATTGGGACAACCTAAAGATGCAAGGTCAACAATTGCATCACTGTTTCCTAGGCCAAAGCAGACCCAGGAGTGGGAGGAACCTACTAGTTGAGTATCTCCATTTCCTTAGAATTTTGCTTGACTTTCAGTGACTCCTCATTTATCAATTCCAATCTCTTTGAGCTGATATGCAAACCCTTCAGTAATCAATCCACCCAGGCCATCTCCCTCTTCCAGACCATAAATCTCCTATTAAGTCACGTTGTCCCAAAGAGGTCACAATGAAGTCCAACACTTTGCCTTTTTCCAGGATTTTGACAGATGTTCATTTGTACCTCTGTGTAGAGCAGACGTAAGTATGTGATTCTGGGAACTGGTCTGCATAGCTTGTCATAAGGGCCATGCTTAGTGTCATAAGAACACTGTATGCAAGGAAACCTGGAGTGGCCCCACCAAGGCTCAAACTGGGGAAACACTGAAGTATATTCCTTTTTTATATTTCAAATAAATTTTATTTCTCAACATGTTACCTTCCTAATTCAACAAGTATATCACTGTATGAGTGGTGAATGCATAGGGTCCTTGCTATTTTTAATGTAAATTCCTCATGTTTTAGATTTTACTCTTTTTAACATTTGTAATTGCTATTTGTTCTAAATATGCTACACTAGAAAATGTATGTCATTAACATATCCAATGAAATCTATTAATTCTAATCTTAGATTTTTTTTGTAAATTCTCACCTGAGGATATGTTTCTATCAATTTCTAGAGAAAGAAGGAGGGAGAAAATGGGAGAGAGACAGAGACAGGGGGGAGAGAGGAAAAACATTGATCAGTTTGCTCCTGTAATGTGTGCAGACCAGCAACTTCTTCCCAGTGTGGGTCCTCTGGTGGACAATGAGGCTGGAACTATGGTTAAAGCTTTTCCCACATTCCCCACACTGGTATGGTCTCTCCTCTGTGTGAGTCCTCAGGATAGAACCCGCAATTTTTTGGTGTATGGAATTGAGACATCTGGCCAGGGCTAAAGTATATTCCTCTGGCCTACCTTGGCTTCTCCTTCCCCCAAATTTAGAAAAATAATTTTTTTGAGGTAGAATGTACATTGTTTTTGCTCATTTGATTCCTCAAAAAGGCAGGGACCGTGTCACTTGCTTTTCACCATAGCTTAGCCAAGGTACTAATAGCTCATGTGCATGGGGGCCAAGGACAATGTACCAACTTTCTGCTACTTTATATACATGTATATTTCACAAAAGCCTAAATTTTTATGCCTTGTTCTAGATTGGTAAGTTTTAATTTGGTTCTACTGCTCTTTAAACCTAGCCTTCCTTTCACCTGCAGTCAGAGCCTCCCCCAGTTCCTGCATTTTCCTTATACCTATGATCTCCATTCTTGGTGATAGCTCAAACCCATCCCAACCCAATTCTATTCCTCCTTTCCCCATTTCCTGTCCCTTATTTTGTCTCTGTATGTCCTACTGCCCTGAGGCAAGTTCTACACTTAAATCCTTATCAGAACCCTGCAGACTTCAACATGAGTGTGAGGTTTCTAATTGAGAAAACTACAACCAAAGGCCAAGGAAGGGGAGGGAGAAACTCCTTTATTTAGTCAGTAATAATAATAATACTTATAAATTTGTAAAAAACTCTTTTTTTTGGCCTTGGCTCTGCTTTATTGACTTCAGAGCACTCTTTGGATGCAGTTAAGACAGACAAACACAATGGGAACTGGAACTGTATCCAGGATGGTGCACCTGACCAGAGAAGAATTTCCCCCCCAAGGTGGATTTATACAAAACACCAGAGGAAAAGACGAGGCAATCTGGTGCTGAGTCCAGGGGTAGCCAGTTGGCAGCGGAGCAGTCAGTGAAGCAGTGGGCTGGTCATGCCTCCTTCTCGTAAGTGCACGTACACACTACATTGCCATGGGTGAGCGTCAGGATGAGTTTGCCATTCACGAGCTCCCGCACAAGTTTTGTTTCTTGCCCGTCCCATTTCTGCACATGGACAAGTTTGCCTCCATCCAGCGTCACGGTGGACTTGACCTTCCTGTCATCTGCCGTTGTCTCGTCAAACTCCACCCCTAGCTTGAAGCTGATCTCTGTGTTCTTGAAGGTGCTTTGTGTTTTTAAGGTGATCGTGTCCCCATTTATTGCGATGATTGTGGTAGGCTTGGTCATACTGGCCACCTGCCTGGTAGCAAAACCCACACCGATGGACTTCATATAGTCATCGAAATTCTTGCTGTCCACCAGCTTCCAGGTGCCTGCGAAGGCGTCCGCCATGGTGAGGCTGGGCTAGGCTGATAACGAAGAAATGACAAAGCAGGCGTGGAAGGACTCTGGGACCCCCTGTAAGAAACTTTTTAAGGGAGAAGAAACGAGGAACTGGGTTGGGGATGGTGGTAAAATGCGAAATCTTACAAAATTAAATATTATGATTGCTAAAAGATTAGGTTGCATAGACTTAGTATTACTCAATGGCTTAATGTATCCTTCCTTTCTGTTCCTTTTTTGGTGGTGGCTGTGTTGCAGAATAGTTATCTTCCCTGAAGGTCACAGTAGTATATAACAGTAGGTGCCTAGAAGTCAATTATTGGTTTAGAATAGATCCAGGTTGTTAAAATTCTAGATGTGCTCCCCAGGAGAGGGGAAGAATTTCTTCCCTGATATGGCCCAGAAAGTTCTTAGGCCACTAGCCATGCGTTCTTTGTTTAGAGCAAGGATAGTTTCCCAACAGGAATTATGGTGGGTTTTTAAAAAACATATTTTTGTTGGTTTCAGAGAGGAAGGGAGAGGGAGAGAGAAAGAAACATCAATGATGAGAGAGAACCATTGATCAGCTGCCTCCTACACGCCCCCTACTGGAGATCGAGCCCACAATCCAGGCATGTGCCATTGATTAAAATTGAACCCGGGACCCTTCAGTCCTCAGGCTGACGCTCTATCCATTGAGCCAAACCAGCCAGGGCAATTATGGCGGTTTTTTAAAAATCTATTTTTATTGATTTCAGAGAGAAAGGGAGAGGGAGAGAGAGACAGAAACATCTATGATGAGAGAGAATCATTGACCGGCTGTCTCCTGCATGCCCCACACTGGGGATCGAGCCTGCAACCCAGGCAGTGCCCTGACCACGAATCGAACCATAACCTCTTGGTTCATAGGTTGATGCTAACCCATTTAGCCACACTGGCCAGGCAGGAATTACGGATTTTAGAGCCTTCTCTCCTTCAAAGCAAAATGGAAATCCACAGTGAGACAGGATTGTGAAGTTCTGGGCAGAAATAGAAAGAGGGCTGTGCATTCTTAGGCTGATTCCTATTCCTGGACATGGTTCTTGAGATCCAGTTGTCAAGTTTACTGCTAAGCCAGGGATTGGCTAGTAGAACTATCCACAGAATAAGGAAGCTCTCAGAAACAAATGTTGACCTAAGGAGTTGGTCAGGTTTTCTACATATTTGTCACATCTCTTGCTTCCTGTAATGTATCTCTTCTATGTACTATATCCCAATGGCAGATGAGGGAAGAATTCTTAGTGAAGCTTTTCTCACACTGGAAGCACTTATGTGGCTTTTCCCCAGTGTGGGTTTCCTGGTGGGCACTGAAGCAGGAGCTGTTCTTGAAGCTTTTCCCACACTGGGCATGCTGGTACAGGCCCTCCACAATGTGGACTTGGCAATGAGGGCTAAATGGGAATTTGTTGACTCTCTTCCCACAGACAGTGCACTGATAAGGCTTTTCCCCAGTGTGGGTTCTCTGGTGAACAATGAGGCTGGAGCTCTGGTTGAAGCTTTTCCCACATTCCCCACACTGGTATGGTCTCTCCCCTGTGTGAGTCCTCAGGTGGGCAGTTAGGATGGAGTGCTCACTGAAGCCTTTCCCACATTCACTGCACTTTTAAGGCTTCTTTCCTGTGTGGATTCTCTGAAGCCAACAAGATAAGAAACCTGGATAAAGTGTTTGCCCATTTTGTGACATTTGAAGCCTTTTCCAGTTCAGGGGCTGGCTGGTGATGAGAGGAGGGAGAATTCTGGGAGCTTCTCTCCCACACACAAGATGTATCCAGGGCTTCTCCTAAGTCCAAAGTCTCTGGTGACATATAGTTTCCTGGGATGGAGCTGTCTCCTCATTCTCCCCTGGACACTGTCTATGTTGCTTTCCTGGCATTGGTTCACCCATCTTGCTTGTGTTTAGCTCAGAGTGCCAAAACACTTTTCTACTAGAATTTCTCCATAAATCCTTGTTCATTTCTACTTCTTCTGAATCATCCCATTTTAGATTCTCGTTTATAGTTCCATTCTTCATCTCAGAACCTGAAAGAATAAAATTACATTGGACTCTGGAGAAGGAAAACAATGGAATGAGGAAAGAGTTACAAATAAACTACTATAAAGAGGGAATACCTAATTGGAATTCTTCATGTGACTCAGTCACAGTCAGTCTTCTGCTAATGAAAGGCCTAACTTTTATTTTCCAATTGTAATACTTTTTAGCTCCAAACTTGTGGTCACTGATAAATATACTGTACACCCCTCCCCCCATTTTTCTCCTATTCTGTATCTTTTGGGATATTCTGACATGATGACAAAACTGAAGCAAAGAGGTAAGCTGTCATTCTGTCTGTAGGTGTATTTTCAATTCTTTTTTAAAAAATATATTTTATTGATTTTTTACAGAGAGGAAGGGAGAGGGATAGAGAGTCAGAAACATCAATGAGAGAGAAACATCGATCAGCTGCCTCCTGCACACTCTCCATTGGGGATGTGCCCGCAACCAAGGTACATGCCCCTGACCGGAATCGAACCCAGGACCCTTGAGTCCGAAGGCCGATGCTCTATCCACTGAGCCAAACCGGTTAGGGCTGTATTCTCAATTCTTGAATGGCCTAGCTTCTGCGAGCAGAATCATAAAAGGTCATTCTGAGTTTGGGCAGCTGAAACATAAAGCAAGTTTCTTTGTGTGTGTGTGTGTGTTAAATATGTTTTTCTTGATTTTTAGAGAGAGAGGAAGGGAGAGGGATAGAGCGATAGAAACATGGATGAGATTGGCTGCTTCCTGCATGTTCCCTGACCAGGAATTGAACCAGTGACTTCTTGGTCCATGGGTTGATGTTCAACCACTGAGCCACACCAACCGGGTTAAAGCAAGTTTTTGAATATCTGGTAAGCACAGACTTAAGTTATGAAAAGAGGGAAGAGGAGAGAGTCTGAGCTGGAGACCTAACTGGCAATCTAAGGAAGAAAAGTAAGTGAAACTCCATGAAGAAAAAAAATGATATGGACTCTGTGAAAGAGACCAGCAAATGCAAAATTTGGGCTCTAAAGTGCAAGGAAATAATACTTAAACTCCATGAAAATCGAAACTCTCTGGCAAGTATATGGTCATTCATCAAGAAGATGACAAGGCCAAGAGCAGAAACAACCCTTTCTAAGTATACTTTCCAATCCTTTGACCATCAGAGTAAAGAGTCTTACCAAGTATGTTTGGGCACAGGACTGGCAGGTCAACTCCCCTAACTTCCTTCCCAGCAACCCTGTAGTCCTTTTCATCTCTGGCTATATTATCTTTAGTGGTACCTTGTCCAACCTCTGTGGACTCCCTGTTCTGCTGACTCAGCTCTCCAAACTTCATGTAATTTCCCTCTTGGCTAGAAACAGCATCATTTGCCACAGGAGGTTCAGAGAAGCTTGAAAGGGCACCCATTTCCTCATGAAAGATATAAGGCCAGGCAAACTATCTCTCCTCACTTTGCAGTAACCTGACTATAGGCTTTTGAATTTGGTGTGACACTGCTATGGGGTCCTCAGAAAACCCTGCTCCTGGAGTTGTTCCTGCACAGCCTGTAGATCTGGGTGTTCTGCTGATGGGTCTGGAGTTATGAAACAGAATTGCTGGGAGTGGCCAGGAGTATTTTGGTCTCATTTCCCCAGTGTATACCTGCACCAATGGTCAAAGAACACAGGGATCATATCAGAAAGGACTGGATACCTAAATGCAGAGTTTTAGCAACCCAGCATACGAATTTCTCAAACAATGCTACAGCTGGCTACCATCATTCCTGGAAGGTATCTCACTGTGGGCATTTTTCCTAAAACAAAAACTTTCAATATCACAGACAAGATATCCTCTCCAACTGAGAAAGATTGTAGTGTATTTACTAAAGCTGCTCTTTGTATTTCTCTTTAATTATCCTGAATCCCACTCATTTTCCCTGAAAGAGGATTCAATAAGGATAGTGCTTGCCTATCTCCACACTGGTGGGAATCCCTGAGGGGATGTGGCCACATAAGAGGATATGGTGAACAGGCAAGACTTGGAGGCAAGCAAAGATTCAGAGGAAAGAAGAGATGATCATGGGGGCCTTCTGCCTAATCCCACTTCTGATGCCTGAGTACCACCTGATCTGCCCATCACTATCTGTTACATCTCCTGTCATCTTTGTAGAAGCAAGAAACTAAATCAGTTGTTATCCCAAGGTTAGAATAAGCAGTTATTCTAAGGAGAGCAGTCTGAGGAGAGCAGTTCAGGCTGGCTGGTGATGTGAGATCCCTCAGCACACACTCCTGCACCCAGCTGAGGCCCAGCATTCCTTTTAAGGGGTGCCCATCTGGGTCAGTTGATGAGGACTCATTTGGCTAGAGCTAGTCCAGCACATGCATTCTGATTGTATCTTGTTGTGATTCTCTGAGGGGCACACAGCCTCTATCATCACCCCTTCTAGTCCACTCTGTTCTGAGCCACCATTTCATATAAGAATTACACCATAGCTGCATCTTTGTGTTTTTTAACTTATTTTCAATTACAGTTGACAACCAATATTATATTCATTTCAGATATACAGCATAGTGGTTAGACATTTATATAACATATAAATTGATCCCCCCTGTAAGTATTGTACTCACCTGGCACCATACATGGTCACTATAATATTATTGACTATATTCCCTGTGTTGTACTTTATATCCCTGTTACTATTTTATAACAACCAATCTGTACTTCTTAACCCTTTCATCTTTACTCACCACCTCCCAAACCTCCTCCCATTTGGCAACCATCCATTTGTTCTCTGTGTTTATAAATGTGTTTGTTTTATTTGTTCATTTATTGTTTTTTAGATTCCACATATAAGTGAAATCATATGGTATTTGTATTTCTCTGTCTGACTTATTTCACTTAGCATAGGACCCTCTAGGTCCATCCAAGTCATTGAAAATGGTAAGATTTTCATTCTTTTTTTTTAATGGCCGAGTAATATTCTACTGTATATACAGGAGTGGGCAAAAATAGCTTTACATAATGCAAATAAATAATACAATAATTAAGAAATAATAATACAAGAATAAACTGTGTTTTGTGTCTCACAACTGTAAACCTACTTTTACCTCATCCTGTACATTTTGGATATTATCCTCTTATCAGATGTATTATTGATGAATATCTTCACCCATTCAGTAAGTTGTCTTTTCATTTTATTTATGGTTTCCTTTACTGTGCAAAAACTTTTTAGTTTGATGTAGTCCCATTTGTTTATTTACTTTTTTTGTTTCTCTTGCCTAAGGAGACATATCCAAAAAAATATTACTTAGAGCAGCGGTCGCCAACCTTTTGGACCTCACGGACTACCAGTGGTCCGCGGACCACCGGTTGGCGACCACTGACTTAGAGCAATGTTAGAAAGTTTACTCCTTATGTTTTCCTCTAGGAGTTTTACGGTTTTGGGTCTTATATTTAAGCCTTTAATCCATTTTGAGTTTATTCTTGTATATAGTGTTAGAATGTGGTCTAGTTTCATTTTTTGTTGGTATCTGTCCAGTTTTCCAAGCACCATTTATTGAAGAGATGATCTTTACCCCTTTGTATATTCTTGCCTCCTTTGTCATAGATTAATTGGCCATATAATTGTGGGTTTATTCCTGGGCTTTCTATTCTGTTCCATTGATCTATGTGTCTTTTTTTATGCCAGTACCATGCTGTTTTGATTATACTATAGTTTGTGGTATAGTTTGGTTTCAGGTAGCATGATACCTCCAACTTTGTCCTTTCTCAAGATTGCTCTGGATATTAAGGGTATTTTGTGGTTCCATATACATTTTAGGATTATTTGTCCTATTTCTGTGAAAATGTCATTGGTATTTTTATAGGGATTGCATTGAATCTATATATTGTTTTGGGTTTCCCTGGTCTTCTTTTTTTTTTTTTTTTTTTAAATATTTTTGTTGATTTCAGACAGGAAAGGAGAGGGAGAGAGAGAAACATCAATGATGAGAGAGAATCATTGACCGGCTGCCTTCTGCAGGCCCCCTACTGGGGATGTGCCCTCACTGGGGATCCAACCCAGGACCCCCCAGTCCACAGTACCATGCTTTATCCACTGAGCCAAACTAGCTAGGGCTTCCCTGGTCTTCTTGATTCCACTCTTGACCTCCTACCATCTTTTTTCAACCCAGCAGTCAATATGGCCCCTCTCCTTTTTCATTCAATTCAACTAACATATTGAATGTCCATTATGCTAGTTTCTGAGAAATGCAAATATGAATATGACATGGAATCCGCCTTCAAGGAGGCCACAGTCTGGTAAACGTTTCTGTAACATGAGACGTTAACAAATGTTTAAGACGTAAACAAATGTTTAAGTAAAACTATTACTTCCCTGCAAGGCTACCTCCTTATAACTCAGAAAGTCCAAGTCCTTACAAAAGTATTTATGTAGGGACTCAAGGCCCTTTCTTAGTGATTCTCAAATGATCTGTGAAAAAACATTTTTAAAAAATACAACAAAAATTCAGTTGGGTAGTACAGCAATGTCAAACTGCTTTAAAATTTTCTAAATACTTACTCTCAATTTCAGTTCACGTCACTTCCAAAGGCACTGCCCTACATGATCTGGCTCATGGATCTCATTTATTACCCTTTTTCTCTCTCAGTCCACAGTAGGTCACAGTGGCCTCCTTGCTCAGGCTCCCCTCCAGCCTCAGAGCCTTTGCACTGGCTATTCTCGCTGTCAGTTACACTCCTTCCCCAGAGACCCACATGGCTCATTCCTTCTCCTCCTAGTCTTTGTTCAAATGTCATTTTTTTTCAATGAGGAGTACCCTAACTACCCAAACTAAAAATGAAACCCACCCTCTGCTCCCACACTCTTGACCATTCTTATTCTGTTCCATTACCCTGCAGCTGCAATGGGACCTGATTCCTAGACTAATGACAGCCTTTTGAATTCACATGATGACACCTTCTAGGACAGTGATGGCAAACCTTTTGAGCTCGGCATGTCAGCATTTTGAAAAACCCTAACTTAACTCTGGTGCCATGTCACAAATAGAAATTTTTTAATATTT